AGGGTAAGAAGGAAAGTATGTCACTATATACTATTGTGAGTTTCACTTCGACGGTAAGGACTTCCAACCATTGACACCAGCAGACCACTTAGCGCATGCTAAGAGAAAGCGAGGAAAGAATCCATTGCCAAAGTAAGCTGTGGCATAAGGCTGCACCACCAAAGGAATTCCCGACATCCACACACGCTCAGAGTTTGGCCGTTGATCATGACCGTGAGGCGAGAAACGTTGCTCGTGAGAAAAGACAGAGAGAAATAGAGCTGGTGTTGCAGAGGCAAGTAGAGCAGGAACGAGAGAAAGAGAGATAGGCTGACCTTATACAAACTTGCAAGAACTTTGATCTGTACTCGAAGATGATTGCCCTGACTGGTGAGTGGAAGAAAAAGGTGATGATCTTTATTTCTATAAGGTTACACAAATAGATGTACCAGGCACTCCAGTGCCTTTATCTGTTACTTACGCTGTCCTTATAAAGCAGAATCTGTCAGTGAGTGGTTATCTCCCAAAATCAGTTGGATCACTGCCAGGTAAAACGAAATCACCTTTATTCCTGACGACGATAGTTTATGAACGAAACAGTCCATTGTCGACTCACTTGGCCCAAGCTTCAAACGGGAATTTACTGTCCACTTCTTCTCATCAATCTTACCTGAACCACTACAACGACTATGAGAGCCATACTATATGTTCATACATTGTATCATACATACTTGCCATTTTTGAAATAAATAATATTATCCCTATATCAAGTGGGTGTGTAGGCGATCAGACTTTATATACCTATTAAAGAGCGTACATTTACAATACTGTATGTTCTACGATAAGCCGTTGCAGTTGGATTTAAAACAGATAGCTGATCAGCTAGAGGATTATGCGACATCACTAAGCAAAGTAGCAAAAGTCTTTGACGATATAAATGAGAGCAGTGTGCATGCAGGGTCAGTACAATATTGCTTAACCAGCGATCAAGTTAATCGAGATTGTATCCCCAAACTACAATTTCTCGCAGAAAAAGTTAGAAAAGCGAACACACAAGCGAGAGGCTGCCGATACCAAGGCAGAACTATGATGTTCGGGCAGCAATTATATAGTAGTGCACCTGGAGCATATAAATCTTAGGCTGAATAGCAAGCACTTAAGTCTACCATCACCAGATCAATACATAGCAACCACATTACCCGTCGACTCGATATGTAGCTTGGATTTAGACAGTGCATACACTGAGGTACTTGAAAGATTGATGAAACTACGCATAGACAAAACAAAAAGGGCTGTCAAGCCACATTTTGAGAAGAAGTTCGGAGAGGAACGTGCCAAACTGATAGATTCACTTAGATATATACACGTAGATGATATTGGTAGTAAAAGCCTACTCCAGTATAAGAATGGGCAGATACTAGGTTTTGCACATGATAAACCAGCAGAGCCTGTTTCATATATAAGTTGTGTAACTATGTTCGGTGTAACCAACGATCAACACAACACGTTGCTAGCAGTTCCGACTGCTTCTTCAAATGGGAAGTACTACGTCGGTCTAGTAAAGTGAGGCGTACAGAAGAGTATGAAGGTGGGAACACAACCACTCTGTGTAGTAAAAAACGCACACGTTACAAACCGTAATGTCTTTGCCCGATAGAGAATAGAATACGATCCAAACATCAATATCATACAAGACGAAATGGTTGCATGGACACAATATCGATATAAATAAACGAAATGAGACGTTTGATAAAGTAAGGTTTGCCTCGTGAAAACAGCAATACTCTGAGAGATTGTGAGGCTAGAGTTTTTTTATTTTATTTATTTTTCAAAAGATAGGATTTTATGAGTCGATCGGACTCGCCCCAGAATAGAGCGACAACGAAACACTAAATGAAATCCCTTCGGCTGAAACAGTACTGAGAGGATTATATATAGGCAATGTCTCAGCCTCACAATCTCTCAGAGTATTGCTGTTTTCACGAGGCAAACCTAACTTTATCAAACGTCTCATTTCGTTTATTTATATCCATATTTACACGATATATAGAATTTAACTACGCGTTTATTTATTCTAAGGCATTAGTATCGCCTTTATTAGACCGAATCTTACATTACGTAGACGTGAATTGAATTTAGTGATTTCCTCATCAGTCTCACTGTCCTCAGAAGGTATCTCAGTAAATGGATCCCGTTCTGGAAGCACTTTCTTCGCTTCAGCTTTCGCCGCAACATGCCGAGCACCATAGTAATAAATCTCACGAAGATACTCAATAACTTCTTCAAGCTTGGATCCCCACCCTCATATCGCCTTCGCAAAATCCGCCTGGGTTCCACTCACTTCAAATGGGTCCTTAAGCGCTGGATTCAATGCTGCAGCCGCGATGTATAGATCTTTCGTCTCAATAACTGTCTTGCTGATATAGCTCTCTAGTTCCGACTTCGTCTCCGGTGTAACCTCCTTTAAAAGAGCCATCGCTGAGCGGTACCCTCCTTTCTTCGCCTCGAGCTCATAAGCCTTGGTACCCCTGACGTAATCCCATCGATCCATTAGTGTCGTCATCGGCTCCCCTCTTAAAAGTTTATTTTTAATCTTAGATCGACTCAAAACACAATGTAACGGTGAACTTAGTTTTATTTCCTCGATTGTTGAATAAACGTCTACCTTAGCAGAATGAAAGGATTTCCTTGAGAATCCTGCCACCAATCAAATCGTGTATCTTCTCAATTTCGAGCCTACAAGCCCATTCAACATATATCGTCATCTACCAACCTCCAGCTCATATTACCCCGCACTTCGGTTCGCAAAGCACCAATCATACACCAACCTCCTCTTCTTTCGAGCCTGCGCGGCCGTTCGCTAACAAACCGCACAATACAACTTAAAACTTTTCAAACTTATTAGTTTTCACACTTATAATTTATCGCCCACACTTAGAAGTTCGCGCACTCTTATTAACGCCCAGGAACATTACCGAACAGTTCGGTACTTACAACACCAACATTGTTTTAAATCGGAGGTAAAACTTGGTTGACATTACAAAAATAAATTCAGTAAAAACACAACATAGCCTTCTGAAAAAAGAAAATCTAAAGTTGAGTCTATTTGTATAGTTTTGAAGGTTTTGCTATTTTTAGGTTGCTTTTGCCAACTCATGTATATTAAAAAAAAAGGAATTTCTGAGAATAAATTTATTTTTGGAGTAAAACACCTTACTCCAGTAACTAACTGCTGTATTTACTATTTCATATCCTCTGTGCTGGTATAAGACAGACATCGATATACCGCGAATTGCACCTAGAAAAATCAATGAAATGCACCTCTGATATTAAACATAATTCGTGAACAGGACAAATTATTATTGTTAATTTTTTTAACACCCCATCCATATACTAAAAGGGGTACAAATCGGGCCGAAAATTAAGAAGCGTTCCAAATTTCCTGTATCCGGATTTTTATTTAATCCCAATATATTTTGGCATATTTCCAGATTAAGTATTTCCTAAATGACCTGCAAAGGAGCCAAGGTCGTAGTACAAGCAGAACATCTTCTATACTTAAAGAGTCTAACACTACATAGGAATCCTCCAAAACACGATTATTACGTCTATATATGCATAACTAGTAAAAGTTTTAATGTTGTCACGTACGAATATTGTCAAAAAAAATATCGTTTATGTATTCTTAGAACCGTAGTGCAAGTTACAGCTGTTAAAATCGAGAAAGTGTATATACGCCATTCGATGTGCCATGCAATCGATTGCACGATGAATCTCACTTCCTAAACTTTTGGTCAAAACTCACTACACATTCACCCACAAGTGATTACAATAACATTATTATAGTTTGATTAAGCTTATATAAGTACAACGAAAGTCTAAAAATCATAACGAAGGAATATATTTGAATACGCACTCTATATGGATGTCATTGATGGGCATGCATGCATCATTGATGGGCATGCATGCACGTGAATGGTGCTTTTGAGCAAGTATAATAAGCCCTCTGTACCACAATGATAGGTTCAGAACTAATAATACTTGTATTTATTATATATGAGAACCCTCGGGTTCAAACTTCTAATACGCGACATGGAAATCCAAGATTTGACAAGGTCGAAAAGTGCACATCCTGTTCATAAATCGATGCATAACTGTATGAACCAGTAGAGTTATCAACTTGGCGCCTTTGCAAAATTATTTTGAAATGTTTCTAGAAAAAGTCTATAAAAACAAATTAGGACTGTATTCAAAACCAGATATAGTGAATTAGGTTTGCTTCTTAAAAATCAGGTCCCCTCAGTACATGGATGGGGTGTTAAATAAGCAATGAAACTAATCAGTAAAACACTAAATATTTACAAATAATATTTTGACGTTTGCCTATAATTTGGCAGGCTTTAAGATAAAAAAATTACTGTCAACACTCAGCACTCAACCGACACAAGTTCTAGCGGTCAGAACCGCCGCCGAAAACGGATACGCGCCGGAAACTCAACGAAAAACAAAAACTAAAATATGTATTAAAAAAACTGGGGTCATGCACAGGTTCAATATACATACCCCTGTCCTACTTTCTTGGACCACTGCACCTGTATACAGGTAATATAGGACTAGTTGGCGTCTTTTACTCTGGGGCTCTGAATATGTGGAAGGATTGTGAATGTGGAGTGTGGTCCACTCTGCTGAAGGTGAGGCTAGTCCGGTGGTCCTTGTGACCTTGTCACTCCTTGACCTTCTCACTCGCGGGGTGACTGAGTCTCGCTCTCTGCTGGTGGGTAAAATTAACTTTGGTGGTGAACGCAGAGTCGCAGAGTTGCAGAACAACTGAGAACGGGTTAATAATTTCTGATGACAATGATGAGTCACGGTCACAATGTACTTTTTTTTGTATTGAATTTTGATCACCACAAAAGCGTTTCGTTATTCACTTATTCATACGCACGACGTAATGTATTTTTGTAAATACTCATAAATATTTAACGTGACAGTAGCGTACTCTCTAGTAGAGTGTACCTGATGTAAAATATTTAATTGCTCTGTAAAGTCTGTGCTGTCGGTAAAGGTGTTTGTTCTGATTTCTGAAGGCTCTTGGTGTTAACTGTTATCGCATGATTTCGTCCGTCATAGACGAACAATTCGTGCTATCGGAGATATTAACATCTCATGTGAATATAACGTTGTCTCACATACAGAAAGCAGGCGTAAAATCATATGGATGTATTTGAATAGAACGCGCCACGGTCAATATAGTAACTGCATGCAGTGACGTGCTTATAGTGTGAATGGGAATCGTTAGGAGTAGAGCATACGACGAGTAGTACTACATTGTGTATACAATAAGTGTGCGAGTCAATGATCATGAAACGTACAACATAGGTGGAACATCTACACCCACCACATATACCACCGCTGATGTAAGACGAGTGGTAGGGAACAATGCCTGCTTACAAGTCGTCGCAGACTAATTCTTCGTTAGAGAATCCTAAAGCGCATAGATTAAAAGAGTCTCACGGGCGTATGGCTGGTAGTATAAAGAACTGGTTTCGCATACGGACTAATACAAATGCGGGCCAGGATAATAACGGTAGCAATAAGCTTGTGCCCATTACGGATAATGCAGACGCCAGCAGGAGCAGGTTCATAGGTAAACTTGACCAGTCAGGTAGTGATGATAGGGCCAAGAGGTTTGATCAGAATGTTGCGGTTGGCGCTAAGTACGGGATGCAAACCCTGGACGCGAGTGTGCGCGAGGTTAAGCATCTGCAGTCGTTGGCGGGGCCTAAGCGTAGCAATGCAGCCGCCTATGCACACGCCAATGAGTTCGATAAACACGCTGAGCTGAATGTGACTGATGTGAGGAATGGATCGTACAGTATGGATCGGACTAGTACTAATACTACCAGGTGCACGCTTGCACGGAATGATTATTCCGTAGACAACATGATCTTAAACAGTAGCGGTCAAACCTCGCTGCAGAGTTACGCCTCGCGCAACTTCAGTGGAGACCAGAATAGGGCCTCTTATCAGAGCAATGGGGATGGTAATTGCACCCACAACCTGAGCGAACAAACACCTCTATCACAGCCACAGCAACCACAGCCACATCCACAATCACAGCATAGTACTATGAACCATTCCGGGACGTCTATGCGTGTGCGGAGTGGCGAGCTATCATTGGGAAACATGTGTGCAAGTAGACGGAATAGTACCGTTAGCAACGGCAGTACCTCGGCAGGCAGTGCTGTCAACACCATACATAAGTTAGACCTATATCGCCGGCAACTGGAGCGCGATATAGAGAAGGTGACGGAAGATAAGTTCTTTCAAACGGGCGAGGGGGATGCAGGGGCCAGTTATACCACTCACAGAAACACAGACACAAATACGAACGGCAACGACTCGATCATGAATAGTGAGATGGATGGTTTTGCTACTGGGAATGACCAATCCTCCGGTGCTTTGTCGGCGAACGCACCCTTTTCAATACAAACCAGGGGCGACGTCTCTTCACGCGTTGCCGATAACGTACAGGCCGGACCCGTGAAAGTATGCGTTAAGGCGTGGCGTGGCGAACGTTTGTTGTATTAGTAGTATGTGCATGTGGATACATAGAAAAACTGAGTTGATAAGCTTGTTATTGACAAGGCTGTGTAGATATATACATTTACCAATATGTGTAATATGCGTGTATATTTGCATGTGTACAATTTATATGTGTGTATGATTATAATTATTCCATAAAATATGTGTATACATTTATATCGATATAAGTGTACCTGTTCGTATGTTACGTATTTAAGCATATATATATATGTGTGTGTGTGTGTGTGTGTGTGTGTACATATTATTTATATATATATATGTGTGTGTGTGTGTGTATATGTATATATATGTATATATATATATATATATATATATAATATATATATATATATNTGTGTGTGTGTGTAGTAGTATAATATATATATTATATTATTATTATATATGTA